CATACATACATACATACATACATACATACATACATACATACATACATACATACATACATACATACAGTACACGCACACATACACACACACACACACATATATATATATATATATATTTGTATATATATCAAATATAAATATATGCACAAATATGTCGATATACTTGTAGCTATATAGTTAGCTTCCCTTAATACGCCTCAAGGCTACTTCTAAAATGGGAGAGGTCAACACGTCGATTTGTACAACGCATACCTGTTTAGAATTAGTCTTAATGCTTGACCATACTGTGCGTTGGCCTTTGAATGCCGCCAAGAGGGACTGCAAGTGTTTAACTACGTTCGCAAACTTTGAACTCAGATCATTGAACTCCGGGTCGCTCTCGGGGTTGCTGGGTTTGTAGACGTTGACAGCCTTTTTGATGGTATGAAACATATTGAAATACTTGAAGCTTCTAGAGCGTGTGTATTATAGGGTCGTATAACAGATTATTGTACTTTGTATTCTTTCTGTTTGGCGATGTCTGATGTGTTTTAGAGGATGAAATTACTGTATATAGTATACAATATTGAGGATAGACAGGTTATCACCGATTCACCGCGTCTGTTCTATGGAGACTGTGATCTCTCATATTTTATAAATATATACCAAACCCTGTGCGGATGTGCCGGTTTATAATAACATTCACAATCTACGGTTGTAAATTAATTTACGACAAGCTTATCGATAAAATCAGAGTGCGTCAGTCAACTTCCGCCGGAATCGTCTCATCGTGGATAATTTACCACATCATTGTTGGTTTCTATTTGTACAGTTTAAACCACTTACAACAGTTGAGATGAAGATAAACCCACAGTCTATTGGTTAAGCAAGCGGAACACCAAACCATATGTTTTGATTAGCTATTCAAAGAATATCGGCGATTCATATCTTTGTTCATTGAACTTCAGCTGTAAAAAATATAAACAGTATTTACAATTTTACAGTGTGCGGAAATAGTATTCATTCCACCATAAACGCAAGGGATGGAAAACTTCATTTTTAAAGGAAATAGTGTCTAGATCCAACATATGAGGAAATAGTGACGATACTATTTTAGTCCTAGAGGGCTATAATGATGACTCAGGTGTCATCACTTCTCGCATTTGTTGGCGGGTCCATACGTAAATAAATGTCATCATGATGAACAATAATTTCATAAAAACAAACTTAATTTGTGTAGTTTCTGGGGTATGTATGTAGTATTTATTGTATATGTATGTATTTAAGAAATTTGGTATGCAAGTCTGTTGTTGTTTTTAAGCCAAATATAATACCTAGTAACGAAGGGAAGTGTGGCTCACGTTGCTAACAGCCATTGCAATATAATTTACAAGCCACTAGAGAGAGTGATTTGAACGTATTAGCTCTCCGGTGTCTTTACAGCACTGACACCTGTGATATGCTGCACACGTTAACATATCGGTAGTTTTATCCCTTCTCAGGGTTACGAGCCAAGTATCTTGGAGAAGGTGTGGAGTTGATGCAAACGATGTTTGCGCATATAAAGCATGTGGTACCGAAAGGGGGAACCGTCTTTCTTGGCCATGGCGCAACATGGCAGGCATCCAACTTATGTAGGAAGAGTCTACAGGGTATTCCGTATACATTTGCACATACAGAGCAACGCTTGTTTACAAGTGCACAGACATCAATATTTAGAAATATAGGGAGGCCCCGACGAAATCCGAATCAGAAAGGAACAAGTTTAGTATATAAGAGACACTGTAGAGGCGAGAAGAAAACACCCAGTGCTAAAGAGAAGACAGGCGAGGCTAAATTGAAAGAGAAACCTGAAGGCGAAAATGGGGTTAAGAACAAGGACGGCGGAAAACAAGGTAGAAATGAACGGGAGAGTGTGGACTGCAGCTATAGCCTGGCTGAACAATTAAACATCACACACACACACACACACACACACACACACACATAACACACACACACACACACACACATAACACACAACACACACA